TCAAGTAAATCTAAGATATCAAGATCTCAACATGAGAACTCAAGTAAATATAAGACTCATCAGGTGTTGGGAAAGAATAAAGACCCTCTACTTTCTCCTCCAGATATTAACTCTATGAGGTACCAGAATGAATAAAAACCCTTGACTTCATGGAGTTAATATTGGGAGGAGAAAGTAGACAATTAAGTTAATATAAATAAGTAAAATATATGGTATGTTAAATAGTGAAAAATGCTAAGAAAAACAAAGCTGGGAAGGGCCAGAGAGTTCAGAGAAGGTAGAGTCCAAGATAGGGCGACCAAGAACATCCTAACTCAGAGAGTGACATTTCAGTAAGGACTGGGTTGGAGAAATATGTCACATACTACATGGGAAAGAACACTTCAAATAGAAGAGAAGGCAAGTGCCAAGGCCCTAAAGCCAGATGGTGCCAGATTTGTGTGAGAACCGCAAGGACAGTGAGACTGAAGCAGAGCAAGGTCAGAGGGGTGACAGGAGGGTGAAGTCATTGTGGAGCTTTGTAGGCTGTAGTTTTTCCTCTAAGAGATAATGCCAAAGGAGGATTTTAGGCACAGAAATGACATGGTCTGACCTACATTTTAACTCTGAATTCTGTGTTAAGACCAAAGGTTTGTGGTGGGGGCAGTTTGGGGGCAGTTGGTACAAAAAGGAAACAAGGAGAACACTTAGGAGACTACTGTAACGATCAAGATGAAAAGTAACAGGGACTTGGCTGGGCGCAGTGGCTCATGCTTATAATCCCAGCACTTTGGGAGTCTGAGAGGGGTGGATCATGAGGTCAGAAGTTCAAGACCAGCCTTAGCAATATGGTGAAACCCTGTCTCTACTAAAAATACAAAAATTAGCCAGGCGTGGTGGCACGTGCCTGTAGTCCCAGCTACTTGGGAGGCTGAGGCAGAAGGATTGAACCCGGGAGATGGAGGTTGCAGTGAGCCAAGATTGTGCCACTGCACTCCAGCCTAGGAAACAAAGCAAGACTCTGTCTCAAAAATAAAAAATAAAAATAACAGGGACTTGAACCAGGGAGATGGTAAGAGGTGGCTAGATCCAAATACATTTTGAAAGAGATGTTGACAAGACTTGCTATGTTTGCATATGAACTGTAGGGAAAAAAAATAAAAGTCAAGAATGACTTCCGGCCAGGCATGGTGGCTCATGCGTATAATCCCAGCACTTTGGGAGGCCGAAGAGGGTGGATCACCTAAGATCAGGAGTTTGTGACCAACCCAGCCAACATGGTGAAACCCTGTCACTAATAAAAATACAAAAATTAGCCGGGCGTAGTGGCACATGCCTATAGTCTCAGCCACTTGGGAGGCTGAGGCGGAAGAATCACTTGAACCTGGAAGGCGGAGGTTGCAGTGAGCCGAGACTGCGCCACTGCGCTCCAGCCTGGGGGACAGAGCCAGACTCGGTCTCAAAAAACTAACAAACAAAAAAAGACTTCCGAGTCTCTGGTCTGAGCAACTGAAAAAACAGAGTGGCCAGAAGAGAGATGGGGCAATTTATGGGTTCAGAGGAAGATTATGAGCTCATTTTGGACAGAGGCATTAAATGCAGCTGTCAGGTAGATAGTTCTTTAAGAGCAACCTAGACTGGAGATACAAATTTGGGTCATCAGCTTATGAACAGCATTTAATGCCGTGAGACTAAAAAATGATGGATAAAAATAAGGCTGAGTCTAAATTCTTTCAATATTTACAGGTGGGGGAGATAAGGAGTGGCCAGGAAAAAGAAAATAGTGATAAAGGAAGAGCCAAAAAGGTAAGGGAAAAAACCAGGAGAAATACTTTTCTTCAAAGTGTTTCAAGAAAAGATTGTGTTCAGTGCTGATGGGTTAAACTCATCAAGTCCTATCGCTTCTACTTCCAAAACCATATCCTAATGGTTCCCATTTACTCCATCTCGAATGGGTCAAGTCTCTTCTGTGAACTACTCCCACCCACTCCCCAGGAAACTATTCTCTATATAGAAAGCAACAACATCTTTTAAAAATATAAATCAGGGCCAGGCATGGTGGCTCATGCCTGTGATCTTAGCACTCTGGGAGGACAAGGTGGACAGATGGCTTGAGCCCAGGAGTTCAAGACCAGCCTGGACAACATAGGGACACCTTGTTTCAGTTTTAAAAAATTTTAAATTACATATCAAAAAGAAAAAAATATATACAAATCACATCAATATCCTATTTATCTTTTAACTGTCTTCTACTGCACCTAGAATAAAATCTAAACTCCTTCCTTTGGCCCACAAGCCCTTTATGATGTGGTGCATGCCTACCTTTCTACTTCATTCTTCCCATGTTACTATTCTCATTCCTTTCTATCTACATTCACTTTGTTCTTATGCAGTAACTCTGTTCCTAAAACATATCGGTCTCATTCACTGCCTTGGCACCCCAACTCCTATACCTAGAATATACTCCCTTGGCTCTTCATCTGCCTGGCTTCTCAACATTTAGTCTCACATCTCAAATATCTGCTTAGAGAGACCCTGCCTGATTATTGTATCAAAACCTAAAATTATCCCATTTATCTTTTAAATTGTATATTGTCCTTCTCACCCTAAATTATAAATTCCTCAAGGACAGGAGGAATTTATATACTTTACTTATATAACTGTAAATTAAATATATATTACAGCATTTAAAACTTTACATATAGTAGACTTCCATGATTATTTCACAAAATACCAGTCCTTTAAAACCAAAGGAATATTACCAGGACATTGGTTTAACCTTTTACCCAAAACAGGCATCATTTCTGTAACATGCCTGATGGGAGTCATCATTCAAGAATATCTTGAAAATCTCCAGTGATGGCAAACTCAGCACCTCATGAAGCAGCTCATTTCATCTTGGGAAAGCAGTATTTGTTTGAAAAGTCTTCTTTACAAATTGAATCAAACCTCTTTCCATGTAATTTCCACCCACTGCCCTTTGGAGTTATGCCAAGTAAGTCTAATCCCACTTGCATATACAGATCTTTGTGTTTTAGAAGATAGTCGTATACACACCCTATATCTTCTCTTTTACGGGACAAATATTACCAGTTGTTTCAATGAGTCTCCATTTGGCATGGTTTTCAAATCTCATCCTTTCCATGCTAGTTTGGTAATTCCTAATTTATGAATTTCAATCTCAAAATATGCTCAGAAGTTCATAGAGTTCCCCTTACCCTTGCAATTTGCTCTGAATAGCATAGAGTCAGCAGAGTTTAGTTTATCCATACATCAGACTATTATTTATAAAAACATAATGACTATTCTGATAGTTCTGATAGAAAGCTTAATTAGCCTGGGTAGGTGGCTCACACCTGTAATCCCAGCACTTTGGGAGGCCAAGGTGGGCGGATCACGAGGTCAGGAGTTAGAGACCCACCTGGCCAATATGGTGAAACACCGTCTCTACTAAAAATACAAAAATTAGCTGGGCATGGTGGCAGGTGCCTGTAATCCCAGCTACTCAGGAGGCTGAGGCAGAATCACTTAAACCCGAGAGGCAGAAGTTGCAGTGAGTGAGCAGAGGTTGCACCATTGCATGCCAGCAAGACTCACAGGGCAAGACTCCATCTCCAAAAAAAAAAAAAAACCTTACTTAATTAAAATCTCCAATACTTTCATAGACACTATTGTGAACCCAAGGGTCTTCTACTCTGTAGATATGAAAATATTTTTCTTATAGCTAGATGAAATATTTTAAATCTATTCCTGTTAAATATATTTGTTATTTTTAGTATAAAGTTCCACACTATTTTTATCTTTGAATCCCTACCCTGTACTTCAACATACTAAAGATTCCTCCAAATTTTATACCATCTACACATTTGTTAAGTATGCCTCCTATGACAACATCCAGATTAATAAAAATATTTCCATAAACATATCAAACACTGAGTCCTACAACATAACAGCATCACATTCAGAGACTTTTTTTTTTTCTGGTTGATATTAATATTATATGTGGTCCAATGAGCTATTTGTACTCCCTAACAGCCTCTTCTTATCTTCAAAAATGTCAAGGAAGACATTTCTAAAATCAAGATGCTCTGTGATAATAGTATTTTACTGCTTCTTAATCCCTTCATTTTATATATATGTATGTCATTTCATGTATATCTATATCATTAAATATAAGTTAGGTACATCAATTTGATTCTTACGGATAACTACCAACACAGCATGTGATAAGTGTCAATATTATTATTACTCCCAAAATAAGATTTTATATAAATATATTCTCATGTTTATAAAGTATCACCTAATACAAATCGATATAAATTTTGTTCTAAGACAGTCTGGATATCTTTGCAAAAGAATGCTAAGAATGAGAAATCAGCATAATCAAACCAATGTTTTCATATATATGCAACAGTTAGAAAAAACACTATGCCAAGTAATATGTTAATTCAGAGGCTTCGGAAAATTTAAAATAAATTCAATATTATCCATGTAGCTTAACGTTCTCATATAAAATCTGTACTGTCATTACAATGGTTTTAACTGAATGACGCATATTTAGCAAACCGAGTATTTTTTAATATTACATTGGCCAAATTAACTGGAAACACTATCTTTAGTAACAAAGGCACTTTCAGCATCTGAAGATTAATCCTATAAGTTGAAGGTATAGTCAAAAGCATTCTTTATTTAAAAAAAAACTATCATGTGACAGATATTATGACCCTGAAGAACTTACTTTTGGCCAGCTGTGTCTGCATCACTGCTTTCTCGGCTATTGCACACAACTAAATGGCACTCACATGCAAAGTAACTTACAAATTATTTTATATTACTTTCCCTATTTAAATGGCTTTTATGAGGAAACTCATGGATGTTTTCTAATTTTTTAACCTCATTTGAAAAAACTAGGAGAATTTTTGCTGGGATATAGACAGTTATGTGAAGTCAACTGCTACTGGGGAAAAATATCAAATTTCTACTTGTTCAATTTTTGTATTGAAAAAATTTTTGCTTCTTAGGAGGAAAGGGAAGATGAAAGACCGACTACAAGAACTAAAGCAGAGAACAAAGGAAATTGAACTCTCTAGAGACAGTCATGTACCAACTACAGAAACAGAGGAGCAAGGGGTGTTTCTGCAGCAAGCTGTTATTTATGAAAGAGAGCCTGTAGCTGAGAGACACCTACATGAAATCCAAAAACTACAGGAAAGTATTAACAATTTGGCAGACAATGTTCAAAAATTTGGGCAGCAGCAGCAAAGTCTGGTGGCTTCAATGAGAAGGTTTAGTCTACTTAAGAGAGAGTCTACCATTACAAAGGAGGTAAAAATCCAGGCAGAATACATCAACAGAAGTTTGAATGATTTAGTTAAAGAAGTTAAAAAGTCAGAGGTTGAAAATGGTCCATCATCAGTGGTCACAAGGATACTTAAATCTCAGCATGCTTCAATGTTCCGCCACTTTCAGCAAATCATGTTTACATACAATGATACAATAGCAGCAAAGCAAGAGAAGTGCAAGACATTTATTTTGCGTCAGCTTGATGTTGCTGGAAAAGAGATGTCTGAAGAAGAAGTAAATGATATGCTTCATCAAGGAAAATGGGAAGTTTTTAATGAAAGCTTACTTACAGAAATCAATATCACTAAAGCACAACTTTCAGAAATTGAACAGAGACACAAGGAACTTGTTAATTTAGAGAACCAAATAAAGGATTTAAGGGATCTTTTCATTCAGATATCTCTTCTAGTGGAAGAGCAAGGAGAGAGCATCAACAATATTGAAATGACAGTGAATAGTACAAAAGAGTATGTTAATAATACTAAAGAGAAATTTGGACTGGCTGTAAAATACAAAAAAAGAAATCCTTGCAGAGTACTGTGTTGTTGGTGCTGTCCATGCTGTAGCTCAAAATAAAGAAGCTATTTTAAAACTTTTTCCAGCTTTAGGGTAAAAGATAGCTCATATTTCAGTGTCTTGTATTGTTTTTCTTCATCTTGTGGATCCATTCACATACTTTCAGCACTGTCAAGTTGTAATTTTCCCCTTTAACCCTAATCCACTAAAATTACAGAAACTTCTGTAGCCAATTACATAAAACACGCTTTTATTTAATTAAAGTAAAAAAAATACGGTTACCATCAACTCACAAATTAACTATTGAAAATGAGATGAATAATCTTAGTCTTCTGGTCAGGTATTAGCTCTATATTATACATTTTTCTCATCTGTTAAGTAGTAATGACTACCTAGGCAATCCAACTGGCTGATTTGAGAATATTTTAATAGTTAAGAATCATGCTACAATAAAGCTAAACCAAACTAGAACCTTTATCAAATCTTTTCTCTTTTTTTAAAGACAGAGTTTCACTCTGTCATCCAGGCTGGAGTGCAGTGGCATGATCCTGGCTCACTGCAATCCCCACCTCCTGGGTTCAAGCGATTCTCGTGCCTTAGCCTCCCAAGTAGCTGGGATTACCGGTGTGCACCACCACACTCAGCTAATTTTTGTATTTTTTAGTAGGGGCAGGGTATTGCCATGTTGGCGAGGCTGGTCTCAAATTCCTCACCTTCAGTGATCCGCCCCGCTGGGCCTCCCAAAGTGTTGGAATTACAGGTGTGAGACACCACGCCCGGCCCTTTATCAAATCTTCTATCCTCAGAAGGTAACTTAACTCAATGTCAACAGATCAGAGAAAACTCAACTATGTACTTAAAGAATCTAATTAGTAAGTGGGAGCTGAATCTAGCTTAAGGAATAAGAAGATGAGTTAAGGTATTGCTTTCTTGAACTTGGGTCCATACAGGGCAATGTATTACAGATTGGCAGATAAAGTCAAATTAAAGGCAACCATATTCTTGAATATTTTGCCATGACTTTAGGAGAATGCTATACTATACTATGAGTTAGGGATACAGTCTAAATTCACACAACACAGGGATAGAGTTTTGCAACTCACATTCTAGTGGAGAAAGCAGAGTAACAAATACAAACATTAGATAATGTTAAGTTCTGGGCAGAGACTTAAAAGGGCAATGAGATGACACAGAGACTATCATGGGGTGCTTCTTTAGATTGGGTAATCAGTGAAGACCTTTCTGAAAGGTGAAATTTAAGTGAAGATCTGAATGAGTACCAGGAAGGGTATAATTCCAGGCATAGGAAACAATTAGTACAAAGACTCTGAGGTGGGTCTGACTAACTCTATGCAAAGAAAAATAACAATCCAGCTAGGGCATAATCAGAAAAGAGCAGTGAGATACGAGATGAGGTTAAGAAAGGTAAGGGCTAGATTTAAGGTTTTGTAAGCCATGGAAAGAAGTCTGAAGTTTACACAAGTGTAATCAACACAAGGCTCTCAGATTGTTCTAGACCTGATAGTAATATTATATAATTTACAATTGAAAAAGATCATTCTATCTACTGTATGAAGAATGGGTTAGAATGGATTTGGGGGAGGTGAGTAGAAGACAAGCACATAGGTATAGAAAACAATTAGAAAGTTAATACAGTAGGAAGAAATGATGGAGGCTTGGACTAGGATGGTAGAGGAGGTGGTGATGATGGCAGCAGCAACAGTAATACTAAAGAGGAATAAAGTATTCGTAATGTCCTAGTCACTGTTCCAATTATTTCAGAGTAGACAAAGTATGAAGTAGACACTATTTTTACAATTTTACCAACATGAACACTGAGGTGCAACAAAATTAACCTGTTCCAGGTCACAGAAACTGCATATAGTGAACAGGATATGAACCCAGGCAGTCTGACTCCACAACCAGCTCTTAACCATTCTCTTACTATAAACTATATAGTGGTGGTACAAAAAGTTAGATTAACTTCTGATAGACTTAAAAGGTAGAATTATAGGATACAGATTAGATGATGATGCCATTTACTGAGATGGGAAAAGACAGAGATGAAGGTTTCAGAATTGGCCACGACAAGGAAATCAAAGACGCTATTTTGGTCAAGAGAATCTGAAGTGACTATTCAAAGGTCCAAGTGGAGGTTTTTAGGATATTAGCTATATCAGTAGGAGCGCTTGAGATATGTCAGGACCAGAAGTACAGAGTTGGGTCATTTGAGTAAATAAATGGTATGTAAGGTGGTATGAAAAATATGTGGATGTAAAAAACGGGAAGTGCAGAAAAAGGCCTGGAGTATTTCAAAATTTAGACTCAAAGCAGAAGAGGAGTTAATAAAAGAAACTAACTGAAACTGTCAATGAGGTATAAGGAAAACCAATGCAAAAGGGAAGTTTAAAGAAGGAAAAATGTGAAGAAACAATCAATTTTAGGGAAAATAAGAGCAGTAAAATAACAATAGATTTGGCAGCACGAAGACAATTACTGACTCCAAGAAGAACAGTTTCAAGGAATTACAGAAATAGAAGCACAAATGGAGTCTGCTGAGGAAAGAATGTGACATGAAGAAATACAGCAGCCACTACAGGCAACTCTTTCCAGAAGTTTGAATAAGGTACTATAAAAAGTAATCAATAGTTAGAGAGATACGTAGAGTGAAAGGATTCCACTATACTTCCAGGCAAGAAACAGGAAAGCACATTCTGCTGACAGGAAAGATCCAGAGAGAGAAACTCCTCACATAAGAAAGGGAAGGGATACTATTATACAAAAGCAGAAAGAGGTGGAATATGAAGCACCTGAACTTGGGTAGGAAGAGAAACCCTTCTTCCACACTACAGAAGAAAAGGCAGGGTTTAGGAATAAAAGCAGACAGTTGAGTAAATGTGGTAGTGGGAAACATGAGAATGTTCTTGTGTGATAGTTTCTATTTCCTTAAAGAACTCAGGCAAAAACTGAAAGCACAGTGGGGTTAAGGGAGAACAGACAGAGAGGACAAGGAGGGAAACTGTCATTTTGAGAGAACAACAAACATTCTAAGATAAGAAGATAATCAGGCAGTCATGATAACTTTAATATGAGACCAGCCATCACAGTCATGTATTACTAATCTATCAATGTTTGGCATTTGTGTGCTAACATAGAATGTGTAGGTGACTGGGTCTGACCAAGACGGTGGCTTTTCCAGGTATGTACAATGAAGGAAAATATGTCAAGAGAGGTTGGGGTATTTGAAATGACTGAATTTGTATATGTAAAATATGTATTTCATAAACAATACAAAATAATTTTTAATTTATAAAATATCACAAAATTGAAGAGCTTTCTATTGTGTCAATTATCAAGCATCGCTAGAGAAAAAGATGTTTCATGTATCTCAGTTTCAAATGTTTAAGAAACATTATAAAAAGGGATAAATTTAAAAGATTATAAACTCCACAGCTGACTAGTGATAGATATCTGTCTGTTGTTCCTTCTAAATATTTTTCTACAGCCTTAGCGATACATGTTTATAATAGTTCCTAAATCGTTTATTATGAAAACTGATAATATTAAGTACTATTTAATATTCATTAGTATGATTACATCCAGATGAATTTGTAAAATAGTTATTTTCTTTCAGCATTTTATATTAGAACATACTGCTTTTAAAGCAAAACTTAAGCACAAAAAAAAAATCATCACAGAGCAATGTATCAGAAACCGTTTTCATTGTTCTGTTTTCAAACCAATTAGTATCACCTTACACAAAACAGATAACACGATAACTTAATTAGTTGTAGCATTTTGTGTATTTTATATACACACTTAATAGGCACTAAAAGTAGTTATTTTTTCTTAAAATAATAACCTTAAAGGGAAAAAAAATTCTTAAAATAGGTGAAGGCAAAATATTGCAATACTAAAAGCATGCAATAATAAAAATAAAAATTACTATAAGCACTAAAGCTCATATTCATAACTACCAAACTGTGCCATTTTCTGTAATTACAAGCTTCATAGAGCTTGAATTTGTAAAATGAAATACTTTGAAACTGGTTCTCCTAATTCATCTACACCTGGACACAGTATATTATCAATAACAATATTCATATCCACCGTTGCATTTACAGAACACTAGTGAAACACTGTAATAGAGGCTTGAAAGGCTTTAAATGCATTATTTGGAATTCACATAACAAGACAGGTATTATAATCCCTATTTACAAGTGCAGACATAAAAGCTTAGAAAGATTAAATAACCTATTTAGGGCCTTTCTGACTCACACTTTCTCCTACACCAGTAGTTGTCAATTTTTGCTATGAATCAGAATGATCTGGAGAGCATGTGTGGGAAAAAAAACCCCAAAGTACATCTGGTCTCACTGTCAAAAATTTTGAAGGTCTCAGCTGATGCTGATGCAGGTGGTATGGACAATATCTTGCTGCCTAGTAACACTGCCAAAGAGTTTTTTTCTGTGTTATTTTGTTTTTAACTAGATTGAAGTGATAGGGGCGGCAGGGATGGGGACCTCTGCAGGCTCCCAGAGCTTAAATTACCTACAAAATCAATCAGCTGAGAAGCTTTACTGTAAATTACAGTTGCTATGAAGGTGAATGTCGTTAAGAGACAAAAGGACACATTCAATAAGGACATCTGGAGATGAGTCAACATGTAAGTAAATGACATTAATGAAGATGACAGTGTGGTAAGGCTCCAGTGAAAGGGGAGAAATCTTAAGCCAATAGGCCTTATAAATTCAATAAGTAGGAGTTTCAGAGGGTGAAATTAGTAAATTAGGGGACTCACCACTCTATCTAAGGATCAACTGATTATGTGACATAGGCAGACCATAATTCCATATTTATAGGTCTCCAGCATTCTAAAACAGGACTCGGATTCTCTATTATTTAGACATCTAACATAATAAAAGTACGTTTGATTCAATTTCTGATAACTGTATTAGGATAATCATAACCTATCTAACTTCTCCTGAGTACTTACAATAAAGAATGTTACTAAAAGAAACTTGCCAACTAACATTATGCTGTAATACTGCCTAGAAGGAAGGTGAGTCAGATAAGCATA